CGCCGCTAACTCCAGGTCGCTCTCAGCTCTGCATGCTCTTCCCCGCTGATGGATCCGTTCTGTGCATGGACTTCGCATGTGTTCAGCCAGGCGAGCCTGGTCTCCTGCCGGCCCAGCGCTTCACCAAAACCTAATGCGTTCTTTTATTAATGCAAGAAGAAGAAGAAGAGGAGGAGGAGGAGGAGGAGGAGAAGGAGGAAGAGGAGGAGGAGGAAGAAGAGGAGGAGAGGAAGAAGAGGAGGAAGAAGAGGAGGAGAGGAAGAAGAGGAGGAAGAAGAGGAGGAGGAGAAAGAAGAAGAAGGAGGAGGAGGAGGAGGAGGAGGAAGAAGAGGAGGAGGAGGAGGAGACGACGATGACAGCAAACTCAAAAGCTGGATTTCAGTTGGTTTTAAAATACTGAACAAGCTTGAAGTCACAATGGCGGAGAGCTTGGGGATCTCAGACGATCCACCTGCCTCAGCCAGTGGGGGCCCTGCCCCCACCACTCCACGATGTCCATCCAACCCCTTGCGCTCACATCAGATGATCACATCAGGATGAGGGGCCGTGCTAGCTCAGGAGCACCACACCACGCACTTGAGTTTTTCCCCCTGCAGCCCCTGCACCTGTCCTCAAACCTCAGCTGGGGCCCAGCCTGAGCACATGGGGATGCGGCTGGGGCGGAGGATAAATCTCCACTCAAGTGTCTCCTGCACGCATCCACCCCAGGGCCAACTGCTGCAGAAATGCCCAGTAACCCCCCGACACACACACACACACGCCCCCGACCCTGGAGCGCATTCCCAAAGCACTCCGCCCCAGCAGGAAGGTTTGAAGGCTCCCTCGGGAGCAGAGTGGCCCGGGGCAGGGCATGGAAAGCATCAGTTCGATTTCCTGCGCTCGCAAGGCCAGCGCCCAGCACCCCGGCCTTTCCCTCCCGGCCACGCGCCGGCCAGATCTGCTGAGCTATAAATAATGGAATGAGAATGTGTGCCAAACGTTTATAAGCCGCAAAGTGCTACAAAATGGAAAGGCTGGGGGCTGCAGGGCTCCCAAGGCTGGATGCTAAGCACATCGGGCTCGGGGGGAAGAGAAGGTAAGATGGAAAGACAAATAGAGGCACGCATGCACACACACACATATAACACGCAGACACACGCATGCACGGATGTTCCCACACATGCACACGGCACACATAGATGCACCCGCATGCACACACAGCACATATAACACTCAGACACACGTATGCACGGATGTTCCCACACATGCACATGGCACACATAGATGCACACGCATGCACACACAGCACATACACACAGGAACATGGAGAAGACAGAAAGGGGTCTAGGGGACAACCCACTGTGTAACAACCCACTCTCATGCAACTAAGCCCGTCTCCTGAAGACGACATTAATCCCAGCCCCTGGAGACACAGCTGCCCTTTATTAGGGCCCCCCCACCCTCTCTCACCCCCCTGTCCCGCACACTCGGTAGACAAAGCTCCTAATCTCAGGTCCTTGCCTGAATTTGCAGCTCCACAGCCCGAAGAGCCGATTTCACATACAAACTACCAGAACCATTCCATCCTGCGGGAAATGTGCTCGCAGGACTGTGTTGTCTCACCCACGGAGCGTGCTGCACACGCGTCACACAGCACACACATGCTACACGTGCACACATCCTACACAGCAGACATGCCTACCGACATGTTACATGCAGCATGCAGGTTACACACCATGTGTGCACACCACAAACCCCATGCATGCGCTAATGCACACACACACAACCCCACCATACAAACCACATCACACACACACCACGGCACACGCTCCATACACACTGCATTCCTGTGTGTCACAGGCACGCACAGTTACAGCACACACACACACACACACACATGCCTGCACAGCACCACGCACATGAGAATCCACAGCACACAGAGCCACACTGGCACACACGCTGCGTGCCACGCACTGCGTGCCCGGGCCCCTTTTCCGGTGCCCACAGAAGCAAGCAGCTGTGACAAGCCACCCAGCCCCTGGGAGCCGGGCGCCAGGCGCTGTGCATCAATGGCCACCAGATGGCGCCAAGCCCCTAAGGGAAAGGCCATACTTTACCAGGACCAGGGTGGACCTGGTTGTTGAGAGGGTTACATGGCCGTCAAAGCAGAGCCCCACGCCCCCCCCCCAATCATGTGTAATTATCTCATGCCCAAAACAGGATTTCTTTTTTTTTTTTTTGTCGTGGGGCCTGAACTCTGGCGCTATCCCTCAGCTCTTCCGCTCAAGGCTAGCGCTCTACTACTTGAGCTACAGCACCACCTCCGGCTTTTTCTGCTTATGTGGTGCTGAGGAATCGAACCCAGGGCCTCATGCATGCAAGGCAAGCGCTCTACCAGGAGCCACCTTCCCAGCCTCCCAAACAAGATTTTTTTAATTTATTTTATTTTATTTGTGAAAATACTGTACAGAGGGGTTACAATTACATGGGCAGGATAATGCGTACATTTCTTACCAAGCATTGCAGCCCCAAACAAGATTTTTTAAAGATGAAATAACCAGTTGAAGAAGAGGGTGAGTCCCTCTGGAGACTTATGACCCAGAGCACCCCGTCAGAGGGCCATGGGGGTCACTGTGACCCCAGGGGCAGAGAGGGGCTCAGACAGGCAGGGCCCAGAGTCCTGCCCTCGCGGCCCCAAGGGAACTGGCGTGTGGGCGCTATGGAAGCTCCTGGCCGGTGCCAGGTGATGGTGTCATTCGTGTGGCCACCAGCAGGGGGTACCGCTCACAAGCAGGACCCTGAGCCTGGAGCCTCCGCCCTCCTTTGCCAGCCAGGAAGGCGGAAGAGGGCTCCCCCCTCTCCACCTTTGCAGGTGGCCAGCCCTGGCTGAGCAGGGCAGAGGGGTATGTGTGCCGAGCATGAGAACCAGGCGGAGGCAGCCTCGGGGTGTGGGCTCTGGCTGGTGGTCGATGGGCACATGGAAGGGGCCTCTGCCTCTGAATTAGCGGCACTGGGAAGAACAGACCCTCCAGGGTCCACAGGGCTCCCGGCGTCAAAGCGTCAGAAGGAAGAGGCTGGTGTGGTGCGGGAGACCATGCAGGCATCATGGCAGTGAATCCTCGAACCCAGGGCCAGCCTTCCTGCCTGCCTCCTGCCCTGAGTGCTAGTTCCTGCCCACACAGGTCCAGTCCACTCCAACCCGCCTGGGCTCTTCACCCCGATGAACCCTCCCTCCTTTGACAGTAACCCGCTGAGTACAGAAACGCCAACTGTTAGCGAGGTCCTACCGGGCCCCGGGAGTGGGTGAGAGTGCTCGGTACTTCTGATCCTGTACCGTCACTGGAAATGATGATCGGGTTGCAGAGATGGAAGGACTGCCGTTTGAGGCCCGCCCAGGGAACAGTTCGTAAGAGAGACTTGTCACACAAGCCAGGCAAGGTGAAGCCGTCTGTAATCCCAGATTTGTGAGAAGCAGAGGTAGAAAATGTCCATCTCTCTGAGGCCAGCGCAGGCAAAAGCGTGAGACCTTACCTGAAAAGCAAAAAGCCAAGGGATTGAAGGTGTGGCTCAAGTGGTAGAACACTGCCTATGGTAGGCTTGAGGCCCTGAGTTCAAA